GGAGCCACAGTAAGCAGCTCCAAACCCACCAATGCATAGCTGCTCAGTAGAGAGCCCCATGCTGACATTGATGGGGGTCCTCAGCACTGGGCACCTGAGGCTTCTCCCAGGTGAGGGAGGGGAAGAGTCTCCCACTCACACACCCACAGACACTGACTGGAGAAGAGACACTGGGGTTGATAACACCCCATTATGGTGCCTGTGCCAAGCTGGGAAGAGGGGGAGCGTGGAAATGTGGGGAGGGATCTTCCAAGCACAAGGAATAGGCTCCTGTGCTGAGTGGAAGGGACAAACTGACCAGTGATGGTCTCCTGCAAGCACTCAGCTTGCACACTGGTTTCCAAACAAGCATGTGCAGTCATCAGTCAACAGGTCCTCTAGGAGGGCATCAGTGAGAAAAGACTCCAGAGTCCCCAGGAGAAAGTTGCACGTGCATCCATCCTGTCCCCTTTCTGACTTCCTGTCCCATTCCACCTGCCCCCATCCTGGAATGTATGATGCAGGGCAGGGGAGGCTGCCTCTCTCCCATCCTGTTTATTTTTAAATAAAAGTAGTAATGTTTTAAAGCTGTATTGAGAAGGGAGAGGCTGGGCAAAGCCAGGTGGCTACACTGCAAGTCCAATAGTGGTAGGGGCTAGTAGAAACCTCTTCCCTCCTGGACACAGGGCTCCTGCCTGATTCCACTCTTCTCAGGGCTAGAGCCAGCCAACAGGAGGAAGGGTCTCTCCCTCAATGGTGTTCAGGCATCTATCAGTAGTAAGCTGGACTATGCATCCAAATTCTGGTACAAAATTCTCTGGAATGTGTCCAGGACAAATCTTTGAAACTTCAGAATCAGGAAAATTAGCCACAGGACCTGGCTCTTCCAGGGGCTACTTTGCTTTCAAAACCTATCAGCCCACATCGGCATTTTAGCTTTGGAAGATATAGTCATCCAGGATGACATACAGAAATGTTGGGTAGCAAAAGATGTGGTTAACTTATTAAGCATTTCTTATCATTCAAAATGTGTCTAATACATCAAGCTCTTTAAAACTTCCAGCAGTTTTGACCAAATGGCCTTTTTAAACATGGGTTTAAAAAAAAAAAAAATCAGTGACACCTCTCAGAAATCAAAATAATCAGGTAGCCTTGTTAAAAACAAAAAAACAAAAACAAAAACAAAAAACCAGGAGCTGAGAAACGAGGCCACACTATTGCTCAGATCACATCTTCCTGTAGGGTAGCGTATCTGCCCAGCGGAGATCCTGGATGAGGTCCTAGGAAGTGCTAAAACCCTGTGCAGTACATTTAAGTACCTGCTTCTGGCAAGAAAGAGGCTGGGCCACATGACTGGGAGACAGAAATCTTGAATGAAGACCCAGTAGTTCTTCTACCACTCACTCAGGACCTCAGAAAGCCACCAACCCTCTCTACTCATCCCCACCTCTGAATCATCCTCCAGGGATCTGAGCCCTTGCCCAGGTGAGGTCTGGGGTCACCAGTGTGCGGAGGTCTGCACCTGGAGGCTGCACCGTGGCAAATCCTGCACCTACCCCGATGCATGGCCTCAAAGTAGAGGTGGGTGTGTTGGAGGGGGGGCAATCTTGTACCTCAAATCCCACAAATCTACACAAGATGCATAGGGGCATATCCAGGACCACATTCTCTTCCAGGGCATCACTGCCCATCTCTATGTAGCACCCATCAGGAGAGGACCCCAAGGCCCTTTGTGGAAAGGGCTGTGTTGTCTGTTTTTCCATATGGCTGTAGGATTCAGTAGGCATTTGGGGAGTTTACAACCATTCCCCTAATATGGCTGACAAGGGGTTTTCTTGTTTGGGACATGAGCCGAACACCAGCCTTCTGATGGCTGGGTCCAGTCACTTTTAGACGTCTTTTTTTTTAATTTAAGGGAAACTCTCCCTTTACTCAGGCACCCTTCATTTTGAGATCTCTGCCTCTGTGGCCTGCTAGAGCTGAAGTATGTCCCCAAATAAAGATTTGATTGGGAGCCCTATGGGTTCCTTAATCCCACCAAAATCAGCAATCATGGCCATAAACTACAAAAATGAAAGACCCTGAAGTAGACCCAGGCCGGGAAGACAATCTACATCTTAGAAGGCATCCCTCGTTTCATGATGAGATGGAAACCTGCTAATGAGAACCCATGTGAACTGAGCCTGAGATTTAGATTCTTCCCCCCACCCTTCAATGAGATGAATTTAAGCCCCAGATGATTCTGGAGGGTGCAGCCAGGATGCCCAGGGGGAAACTCCCTCCGGGTGCCCTGCCCCCATCTCCCAGGCCAGGCCTATGGTTGAAGGACCGCACCCTGCCATTACACGAGAACCACTTTGGGAATGAAGACACACTCATTTGCCAAAAATAGCCAATGCCTGCATATTTCTGTTTTAAGGCAATATTACCCTTCCATCTATCAGATGGAACAGCCCTGGGTCATTTAGAGGGAAAATTAAATTAAGTGCTCTCTTTGGAAACAGCCTATCCCACTTTCCCTCCCCCACCCCCCACCCCACTCTAAAACAAACCAGCTCTTTCTTTTATTCCAATATGACTGGGTTTAGAGTTCTTTTTCCCCTTCCTATGTGCAGACAGATGTGAAGTTAGAAAACCCCTTGTGATGCTGTAGGCAAGTCACAAGGAGACACCTGGCTCCTCCAGTGGAGAGTGCTTTTCTGGCTGTGTGGGACATGCCACTCCCTCTCCCTGCCTTCGGAACCATAAACATGGGTGCACCAAAGGACTTTGGAATAAAATTCCTGAACCTGGAATGTGAATTCCTGAGACATGAAATGTGGTCAGAGTGTGGCTTTCTCTGCCTCACACAGAAACAACTTTGGGAGGGACCTCACTTTGGAACCAGACATGAAGATTGCCACATCCCCAGCATCCAGGGCTCTCTTCTTCAAGGTCCATACCACATATTCTACTCTCTCCCAAACCAAATGCAAGCTGAGCTATTATAGGGCCCAAAGGCAGCAGGGGGGCCAGGGGGGCCGAATCTGCACTAATGAGATAGCCCCTGCCCCACCATCCCCACCCACAGCACAAACAATGTCACAGACCAAATGGGTACCTACTGTGCTACACAAAAGCCACCACATGCCATTAGCCACTTCCAGATAAGTAGAGCTGGAAACAGGTATCCATAGCATCACAGATGGCATGGTGCCACGTGCACAGCTGCTGTAGATAGAGGGCACCCATCCACTCTGAAGTTGGCATGACACATCAGCCAGAAGCTACAGGCTCCAGCTGGGCCTGGATCGCTGGGGTTTTTCTGTGCTGTACCCCACACAATGTGTGGGCTGGGATGGAAGCAGAATGACTACAACCAAGGCACTCTGGGCCTGGGAAGCCCATCTATGGCCCACTGAGTCCCAAGGGCCATTCCTCATCAAAGTGAGAGATCTCTGCAAGATACTATAACCCGAGTTCACCCCAACTCATCCCAACACACACACACACACACACACACACACACACACACACACACTCTGTCCTGGGGCCTTGTATTTACAGGCCCCAATCCTTGAAAGGAAGGCAAGGCGCAACATGGGCCTTGCAGGGCTAGGCTGGACACTCCACAGGTCTGCAGAGGTGCTTGCTGGAATCCAGCCTAACTGCCCTGGTCTGGGGCTCGAACACCAACCCAGCCCAGGTCAAGGCTTCATAAGAAACTGCCTTAGCTCTCTGCTTTTCCTCCCCTACCAAAAGGTTGGCAATGGGGCGATGCAGGCTAGGCGTGGCCTGGGGTCTCCAGGCAGGGCAGGCAGAAGCAAGAGGGAAAGGGAGATAAGTTCTGGCGACAACAAGAAGCCGGAGGTTTGCTCAGTCTGTACCACCAGACATAAAGGGTCTGAGAAAAGTGTTTCCCACAACTTTCCGTCTGGTGTTCCCTGGGGAGAAAAGAGAATGCACATTCTCCAACAGCACTTCCCATGACATTGGCTGCGCCACTCTTGAAAAGTTCCAAGTCACAATGTTCTGGTCTTTTGCCACTGAACGGTCTCTGTGAAGTGCTGCGAACACATGCACACACATGGCCACTCACATAGACCTTCTGACTGAGAAAGCAACATGATGGTCTTGCCCACTGTTTCAAACAAAGGTGACTCCATAGCAGCATGGGAGAGCTAGGGAACTGGGTACACCGACACTTCATAAAATCATTTTAGAAAACCAGAATTCCCAGGCTCTATTTTCCAGTCAGAGAATATGGTATAATAGTGAAGGGTCCCTGGTGCTGTCTGTTGGGCAGTGGGGGCCCAGACAGGTGGAACCCAGGCTGTCTCCTTAGAGATTGGATGGTGTGATTTTGTGCCCAGCCAGGGCTTGCGTCTCTGCTTCCATTTTTCCAAGGGGCCCAGGAGAGGGCTCCTGAAGGTAGGGAGTGAGACAGGCAGTGCCAGTCATGGAGGGCAGATGACACTCTCCACAATTCCCCCAAGTGGAGTGCTCCTTTGACCTGTCATGGCTTAAGGCATCCCTCGTGAGGTGGCCTGTCCCTCAGACCCATCTGCATTTTGAGCCAAGCCTATGTGGCCAAGGATGGAGGCTGAGTGGATGGGGAGAAGGGAGGGGGAGGACACGCCTCACCACTAAAGGATCTGCCTTGGAATCACAAATGTCAGTGACCACATCTACTCCCAGCTGATGGACTGACCCACATGCATGCTGAGCTCCACCTGCACTGGTTGGCCTGCTCTGTCCCCAGTGTGTTCCCAAACCTAATAGAAAATTCCAGAGTGCAAATCTATGTACAGAGTAAGGCGGCAGGAAGGGGTGCCCTCACTGACCTCGTGGAACGTGTCCATCCCTGAGAAAGGGGGTTCGACACCGCTGAATCGCAACTTTGTGGGTATCTCCATTGTGCAATTTGTGGATGATGTTTTTTGAAATTTTTTTTTGTTTTTTTTCTTCTTTTGATTTTTTTTTTGTTTTGTTTTGCTTTTTTTTTTTTTTTTTTTTTTACAAATTGACTTTGACACCTGAGGTGAAGAAAAGTGTTTTTACGTGGACTTTTCATGAAGTTCTTGCTCTTTTTTTCTTATTACAAAAGGAAAGGGCACGGACTGACAAAGAGGAGGTGAGAGCGGCTGCTCATGGCTGTTGTCAGGGTAGGGGTCCTTGGCTGGGCGCGGGGCTGGCGGAGGGACTGGCGGGGCTGTGCTGCTGTGGGTCCAGTGGGCTCAGGGTGAACTGGCTGGGCTGATGGTGGGGCTGCTGGCATCAGAGCGGCTGTAGTCGCTGAGTGAGCCGGTCCGCGAGCCCCCGCCACGCCGCTGCAGCATGCCGGGGTGGAAGTTGGCGTGGCGGCGAGCATGCTTCGTCAGGTGATCGCTGCGCATGAAGCGCTTCTCGCAGATAGGGCAGCTGAACTTCTTCTCACCGGTGTGTGTGCGGTAGTGCCGTGCCAGCTCATCAGAGCGTGCGAACTTCTTGTTGCAGTCCTGCCAGCTGCAGGCAAAGGGCCTCTCACCTGTGGGGCGACAGAAGCAGAGAATCAGTCTCAGCGTGCACAGTGACACCTAGGATCTTCTGTATGTGTCCGTGCCCTCCCCCATGGCCAAGGTGTGTCCACTCACCATCCCCCAGAGTGGCTCTCTATCCCTACACTCCTGCTCCATCTCATTTACTATGACTTCTCATCAATGCCCTATGCCCTATCTTCTTCATCTTCTGTGTCAAATACATCAGGGTAAAGGTGAAGGTGAACCATGGCCTACCAGCCGCCACACTTGGGATGGAAGCAGATGACAGCTCCCAGGATAAAACAGCAGCATTTCCAGCATAGAAGTTGTAGAGTATATGGTTTGTATATGGGCCAGGACTGGTGGTCTCTGGCATTGGACCCCCTAAGTATATGGCATCCAACATGCCCACGCAGGGTTAGCTCTCCCCAGCCCTAGGGGAGTGGGGGTATAGGCTCATGCTGTGGTTCCACCTGCTTGCAGGAGCCAAGCTGGCCCACACTGGCCCTATGGGAACCACACCTCAGCTCCCAGATCCCTGAACAGCAAGAAGACAATGTCTACACCTAAGAGTCCTGTCACCACTCCAACCTTCTCAGTTTCTTCAGTATGTAACATGAGGGGGTTAGTCTGGGCATTTTCCAGGGCCCAGCCTCCTCCGCTTTCTCTGAGAGAACTTTGTGTGGCTAGCCAACAAAGGCCAGCAGAGGAGACTTCAACAGGTTCCTATTAGATTCGAGCATGGTAACAGATAGGGTGGTGGACCAGAACACCCCAAAAGGGGCCTACACAGTTGGGGAGAAAGCAAACACAGTGAGCCCAGTTGGGAGGTCATGAAGATCATTTTATAGTCAAGATTCTTCTCCCCTTCTCCCACACCTTGCTCAGAACATGAAGCAGGCTTGCATTTACCAAAGCAAAACAAACAAAAAATCACATTAATTGTTTAAGGAGAATTGGTGTGGATGGGGGTGCTTTGGCACCTTTAGCCTTTCCAGCACTGGGACACAGTCACTCTTCCTCCCTCCTCTACACAGACCCTAAAGCAGACTGCCAGTCTTTGAAACTGGCCCACCTATGCTCAGCAGAGGAAATCTACACCACCCACACATCTTTAAATATAAAGATTTAAATATAAACAGACACTCAAGAATAGTCAGACAGCTAAGGAAAATCAGCAGCACAAAAGGGAAAGGCCAAGAACAACAAAATCACCAATTCCAGATGAAAAAGAGTGAAGCCAGGAAACAGAAGAGAAAGTTAACCTAACAATTCTAATTAGTAATTCTTTGAGGAACTGGAGACAAAATTTGATGCATAAAGCAAACAGAACACCACAGAGAACCATCACCACAACAAAAAAAAATAACATTTAGAAATTGAAAATATCACTGCTCAAACAAAAAATTCCATTAAAAAGCTGGAAATATATGCAAGGAAGCATCCCAGAAAATGTGAATGTTGCAGTGTTCTGTTTCCTAGTACTGCTGAAGCCCAGGTCTACGTGAGGCTGAATTTATTCTCATTATTTCTCTTCTTCTGGAGAAGGGTATTTAGGGGACTTTGAAAACCAAGTAGCCATCATCATTTCCCATATCTATTTGACAGTTAAACAGGAGGGGCTAAAAGTTGAAAGCTACAGGGAATTGATCCAGGAGGTCAATGTCTATCTAACAGAAGGTATGGATTGGGAAAATAGAAAAGAAAAAAAAAAGATAGAGTACAAGAAATTACAACAAAATAAGATAGCTTTTGTTTGACTTTAAAAAAGATAAAAGAGGGAGGGTGGGGAAGGAGAAGGAGAATACCAAGAAGACATTGACCAAGTCAGGAGACTAACAAAGGTGGGCAGAGAACTGAGGAAAGGTGGCCCCTGCTGTGAGAGAATCTCTGAAAAGTAAAAACACTGAGTAAAAAGAAGAGATCACAAAACTTAATAAACAGGGAAGGGAGAAACAAATTCCAGGTTATCCATGAGGGAACAAGGCTGGGACAAATACCAGTCTTTTCCTAAGTCACAACGGATGCTAGAAGCAGATTAGGGACTTACAAGTTCACATCTCACAGGCTCCAGCAAAAATGAGAGAAAACTGAGAAGCTAGAGACATGAGTAAATAGTGAAGGGGCATCTCAGGTCAAGAACAAGCTGAGGCCTCAGAGGCCACGAGAACAGTAGACCAGGGCTCACAGGAGGCTATTCCAGGAAGAAAGTGAGTTCTGTGTACCAGAAAGTACAACCAAGAGGCTGGATAAACTTTAGGACACAGGGAAAGCACGTTACTATTCTTTAAAGGAAAAAAAGAGAGGCAATTAGAAACTACAGAATAAATATAAGACACAAAAAAACTGTGGTCCAAATCAGAAGCAAACTAAAATACCATGATTATGTGCAATCAGTGAAGGGCTCTAAATCAAAAAACTGTGTTAGGAGCTTTTCATGTGTCACATTATTTATCCTTCAGAACAACCCTATGAGATGGCAGAAGGAAATGTGATTCCAGCACAGGTCCTGGAAGACAGATGTGAACTTCCAAGTCATGGTCACACAAACCCTAGCACCACATGTCAGTGTTCCGGATCAATATTATAGGCCAAGCTCATAGGACTAAATTGTGGACCTGGCAGAGAATTTCATGGAAAAGTGGAAGATCCAGTGTATAAAAGAAATAAATATGTGAGAAACAGGGTGAGGGTTAAAAAGATAATCAATAAAAGGATTTAAATAATATATTCATCAATTTGAGAGGTCAGAGAAGGGATAGCAGTGGAATAAATACTCAAAGTTTCATGGTAAAGAAGTAACAACCTAAATTTTATAAATTGAGAAATAGGAATAAAATCAGTTCACTTATGGAAGAATCCACCCAAACAACTAAAATCAGAAAGAAAAGTGCTGGTCTCTGGGGATTGGGGCTGACTTGAGAAGATGCTTTTGGTAGTAAGCTTTTCTGTGCTATTGGTCTTTTAAATCATGTGCATTCGTTCCTTTAATAAAAATAAAAAGGAATGTTTAAATATAATTTTTTAAATATCTAGCCCAACATTTCTTACATCATGTTTGAAGAAATGTTAGTATTAAATAAACTGCTAATTGGTTTCAGGGGGAAAAAAAAACCTGTCAACAAAAGAGTTTGAGAAATGCTACATGCTAATTCTATGCTTGGACATTCACAATGCATATTAGTCACTAAAATCTCGGAAAGGTCTGGTATTAAATGGTCCAGTATTAAATGTGTCAGGTCAGCCCCTGTGTCCACCACATGCTGATGGTATGGTTTTTAACAAGTTCCTTACTATCTGCAGTGGAGTGAACATTAGCCTTCCAAAAGATATGTCCAAGTCCTAACCTCCAGGACCTTTGAGTGTGGAAAAAAAAAGAAGCGTCTGTAGATACAATTAAGGCATAAATTTTAGGATGAGATTGCAAGTGTCCTGAGGAGAGGCAAAGGAAGGGATAGGGATGGGGCAAGGAGAGGGAGAGGAGAATGTAATGTGAAAATGGAGGCAGAAGCTGGAGTGATACATCTCCAAGTCAAGAACACCACGGGTTCCTGGCATCAGAAGACAGAAAAGAAGCTTGGGATGGATTCTCCTCAGAGTCTCCAGAAACAACTAATCCTGCCAATGTCTTGATTTTGGACTTCTGGTTTCAGGAACATTAAGAGTAAATTTCTGGCCAAGTGCAGTGCAACATGCCTATAATCCCAACTATTCAGTAGGCTTAGGCAGGAGGATCGAAAGTTCAAGGACAGCTTGGGCAATTTAGTGAAATTTTCTCAAATAAAGTAAATAAATAAAAAGGGCTGGGGATACAGTTTGAGGGTGGGGTGGGGGGGGACACTCCTGAATTCAATCCCCAACTGGATTGGAGGGGGGATAGATGTAAAATTCTGTTGCCTTTAAGTCACCCAGTTTATGGTGTCATAGCATCCGAAAATGAATATACTGCCCTATTCTCTGAGTGGGGTTCCTGTGATGATTCCAGGCAATCAGCCTTGGCACTGTTTGGCATATTTCAAATATTTACTCCTGAAATATTAGCTATCATTGCTGCTCTCATCCATTACCCCATCAACTGGGTCTTTTCAGATCTGGGTCTGGTGGGCTCAGATTCAGTATTGCTTCTTAGTAGCTCTAGGGTCTTGTTGGGGGCTTTGTCCTTTTCAGGATTCTTCTGCTTATATTCCTGGGAAGCATACAAAGTAGGTATAATTATAGATGGATCATGTGATACTGGGACTGCAGAGAATTGCAGCATATAGGATAAGCTGAAATGGAGGAAGGTGGAGAAGTCTAAAATTGACACTTGACCAGCAATTGGCTCATGGCCTCTCTAGCATCAGCCCCTTTATACTTTTACTGAATGTGTACTCAATGCCTGGCCCTGGGGACATGGTCCTGACTGATGTGATCCTTCCCATTCTGTTCTCTATTCCTCCATATTCCTGTTCTAGGAGAAGCAACAGCCAGTAAACTGGTCTACAAATGGAAGTTATGATTCATGCTGGCAAGGAACAGCACCAACTCTGGCTGGGTAGCCTGAGTGGAGGCATTCAAGTGGCCTCCAGGAGGCTAACAAGGAGAAGCCAGAAGAATGAAGAGGAGCTGGGGGAAAGGGGGACAGAAAACTTCATAAACCAGGGCACTTTTGCTTATAATCTCAGTGGGTCCCTAAAGAGCCTTTGCTTTTATGGGTAATATCCATTGATATGTATTGTATTAGAAAAGAAAAAAAAAAAAATCTTAAACCCAAGCATACATTCTAGTAGCTGTCCAGAGGGATGATGTCATCACACATGAAGTAGCCTCTGCAATATTCCACTGTACTCTTGGGAGAATGAAGGGCAAATAATGTGATTGTTATGAAAAGAACTCTGATCTTGTGGACCCTGAAAGTGTTTCAGGTACTAATAGGTGTCATTCTCTGGCATCACTGAAAAAGCGCTGTTCTGGGGACCCACCTCAGGGTGGTGTGGCTGAGCTGAATGAGCACCAGAGCAAACCAGAG